AGCCACGCTCCGTCGAGACTAGTTAAATCCCAAGTGTCGATTACTTTCTGCTCTCCCGCAGTAGTCGGCACGACACCGCTATTAAAAATAAATCAAAGAAAAGGCGGCAGCAAAATACTGTACTAGTATAATATTATTTGAGAAGGCAATGATAGGCAACTTGTGAATTAATATTAACTCCTAGTAGAACTTTTTCTCATTGATAAATTAACCCTATTGCTATTCTTCGGTTTATTAAGGCCAGCTCACGTACATTAGTAATACGCTCTTGCCGGCGCTGGTCCTAAATTGGGCTTGATTTATTCTCAAAAGCCTACAGGAGTGATTCTTTTGGATTCTGTGGTATATTTATCAGCCAGCCTATCTTACCGTACAATGGAGAAAACCTTAATTTAATAGATTAGCTAGATTTCACTTTGGTCAGTTATACCCGTATTATTCTTTAGTTTAGCAATATGCTCGATCGTACATTTGTCTGCTATGTAACCATCGATTGTTAGAACATGAGAATTAGATCCTGCATATTATGTTCCCCAACACCCAACTATTTACAGATGACGGCACATTCTAGACTACCTTTTGCATCGTATTAACGCGCATCTAAATAGAGACCAATATTTTTGTTTCTGCGATCAATCCTATTATTAGCACACCAGAGGTTGCTGCGGAGGGAACGATTTCTAATGAAATTTCATTGCACCAACTAAAGGACAAAGACTAGCTAAGCAAAACTGTAAAACATAAAACAAAAATAAAGGCTTTTGTTAAGAATTTTATATTTCTACTTCAAGAATTGCAGTAATGAAAAACGATAGGAAAAAAAAATTGGAGAACCGTAACATGATTGTAACTGCGGTGCCATCCATTCTGTTGCAACATGCCCCACCATGCGCAGGATGATAATTAACCCATTTGGCTTAAAATATTGATATTAATATAAATACAAAATCCATCATTTGCAGATTACGATGCATTATTAACGGACGCCACTTATGTCATTTGCACATTCTTCTTCCATACTCTTCTTGATAAGAAGGTTCTTCGGATTACGCAATGATAGTAGTAGTAGAGATAACAACATCAACATAGCAATATTAACAATGAGTAAATAATGATGTGCAATTAATAATCAATATTACTATTGTAATTACTATTTCGTCATGTCGTCGCGAGATCATCTATAAACATGTGACAGGTATAATCCAGGGTTGATAAATAAATAGAAGCGATATGCAAGCATCCTTCCACGCCCCCACGCATATCTGAAATTCACGTATTCATGCGTATAATACAATGTTTTCAACAACATCCTCTTATTTATCACAGATAAGTACATTTTATGTAGTAAAGAAACATTTTTAGTGTTTAATCATAGATGCAATGCTAATATCTAAATACCGTCCTACAACGTGCGCGCTTTTTTTTTTTAATATTAATCCGACACTTGATTTTACGTGAAGAAATTTGCAGAATGTAGTTTCCGGCATTGTGGGTCGGTTTATAGTTTATCAACACAAAGCATTACATCAGATAGTTAGTAAACCGCTTCTTAATATTATGATAGTGGCAAGATATCCTAGAATATATATGCGTTACGAACTTGTAGAATCGTATCTTTGTTGCCAGACTTGAAGTAATTGGACCCTTCCGCAACACCATCGGCCCGATACACCGTACTTCTCTCGATACATTGGCACTCACATGTTTTAGAGTCATGTTGTAACTATAGTTGTCATGTTGTTGTTGCGTCACAGAATCAAAATACTAACGTGGGTTAACTGTACTATTACTATAAGTACATCTGATTCGGTCATGTGCTTAAGATGGGACATACAATAATAATCACTACACTTAATGTCTTAGCAAATGTTCTTATGCTTACTGACTTCACTCTCACATGTTTTTTAACAGTCGTATTGTAACTATAGTTGTCATGTTGTTGCTGCGTCACAGATTACGAGGCATCTGATTCGGTCATGTGCTTACAATAATAATCGCTACACAGGATTTAGTATTAGGCGACTATCACTAAAGATTAATATCTTAAATATCTCGACATTACAAAATATTTAAATTATCGAAGTATTCGTATACATATCCCAGCCCCATTCCCTTTTTCAGTATTTACACATAAAAAAACAATCTGAATAAACTATCGAATAAACGACTCGCTTTAATAAACAACAATTACAATAATGCATTTGCAGTTACTCGGCTGCCGTTCTATTATCAATACAATGGCATCCCTCCGTCCTTGTCAACCCCACCCGATTACTATCCAACATATAGGTTTAATCCTTCTCAGTTGTTTTTTTTTTAACGCGCGGGCATCGATTTGTATTTGACCAGTAAGATATCCTGTCGCTTTTTTATTATAATAAAAGTATTCCACCCGCTTCGTTCAGTTCACAATCCAATTTATCTCATACGTCAGTAAAATAATTCGAAAGTAAATATACAGTATTTCGTACACAAATAATACGCTGACAGTGAATCAAAAATGTCAATTGAAAATTATAGGTTACTATAGCAGTGTCAACAAAGCAAACATATAATATTGGGATATCACCGTGGGTCATTGACATGTCAAATAAATACCTCAACATAAAGAACAAAATGTGATGGAATGTACAGCTTACTTGATACTTAGTTTGATCTTTACTATTATATATCGTGAATGCCACTAATTCTGTTTCTCAGCATAATTGTTTGAGGTAATATACACGTATATACATGTATTATTCGTAGTTAGGTAATTTTAAATTGAATGTTAATACTGTTTTTAACTATAATAATAAACAAAGTGTCCAGATTTAAATCCTATTGTGCATGTCTGGAATTAATTATACCAAGACAGCTGAAACTCATGATCACGTTGAGGAAATTGATACTTTAATTCTTAGAAAAAGTTAACATTAATCCAAAATATGCCAAAGTTTTAATACAAAGTATGACCCATTAAATATTAATAATACTGAGATGTCAGCTTGGTGCTGATTTAATAAGATTTATGGACAATAGTCAAGTTAAATTAGTTTAAGCCTAGTAATAAATATTTCGTCCAAACATAAACATTGGTTTCACTTTACTTTCCAATCAGATAAAATTTCCTTGCCACCTATCCTGGATCCATTGGTTTCCATTATATCGTCTAGTTGTTTTATACCTCGGGAACAAAATCCGATCAAAGAAATGATTATTCCTAGTCTTAACAGGAGTTGTATTGCTAATGGTACTCGCATGCTTTTAATTAAAAAATTACGATCAGTATATATCGTTGATAGCGCACTCACATGTTGCCGGATCATTCCATCGCATACGCTCTATTCTTTAACATTTAGTAAATCCAAAAGTTTGTCAAGTTTGGGATTTCCTCCTAATCGTGCGATTTCATCTCGCGCACTTTTTTCCGTCTTTGCCAAATGTCTTTTAGTATATTCAAACGATCCCGTGTTCTCCATTAATTTCAATGCATACTGTTTAATCTCAACGGACTTTGTATGCTGTTTGAGGATATCTAATGTAGTCAGAGATACGAACTGGTTAAAAAAGTGAATATGGAAAGAATCATCATGTGAGCATAGCTTGAAATCGTACTTACTAATGAGTTGACGATTGTTTGGGTCGTAATTAATCGAGTGTATGATTGGGAAGGAAAATTTTCCCTCTGTGAGATCCTCACAGAATCCCTTGTGGTCCGTATACTAAATGAAGAGATAATATAAATACAAAGATCGTAGACGACTTACAGCGTATTTTATCTTCCTTTACCTTCTGTGACTGGAGATTCATGTAATCATCTCTTATCTGAAAGTGAATCCCAATAATGTTCACCAATGGAACATAGTCTCTAGTCCGAAGTCAAGTCATTGATGAGGAGGTAGAAAACCAATTTTTGTGATATCTTATTAATCTCATCGATAAATCAGATTGCAGAGGGGCACTCGGACGCTTACATTGATGAATTAGACGCAGCTTGCATGAGCTTCACTCCTAGTCTTAACAAGCCGCCAGTCTTGTTTGACACCATCTCGATGTATTCTTCTTCGCTAGGACATGTCACACTATCTCTCCAATACAAATCGCATCCTTGCCCTCTGTGAAGGTTAAGTAATTCCTCGGTATATATATGAAACATATCAGGATTGTTGAGTTTAGAGAGTTCGTTCAGGGCCAGAAAGTATACATAGTTGGCGCAATTTATGGTTACAGGTACTCCATAAATTTGATGAGCAACTGAAAAAAGCGATGAAATTTAGATAGATGTCATATATTATACGTCAGATGTCACTAGCTTGACGGTAGAACTATTACCTGGAACTCCTCTTCTCAAGGTAGAATCATCCTCAACATCGTCAATTCTAAGTTAATACACACGAGGTGTTGAAGGTGTTGATAACTATTATTACGACTTTATCTTTTATCAATTGAATTCGTCATACTTACAATAAACTGGCGGTATGTAGCATTTCGACCACTTTAGCAATGATACCAAGTTGATGCGTTGGTACATTCAACCAATAATCAAAGGCCTCGATCAACTTGCTCCTGATCTCTTTGCCTGGATGCGCAAGAAGATAAGTGAAAGGCTCGAGAAGAATCTAATATAGTATAATGGGAGATGAGCAATCGATGTATCCAATCAGAGAAGCCATACGCCATCGAGTGTTTGTTTACTTACTTCTTCCATGTAACTTGTCTTTTGATTAGACATTTTTTTTTCTTTTGAATCACTGTCTGATTTCTAGCAAGGGGCAAATAAACAAAAATTCCATCATAACGCCCACATAACGATTTCAGGGGTTCAATATGACATAAACCTGATGAAATAATTACCGCACAACCTTGATAATATCATTTCGTGGTACGAAACAATTTGATATGTTATTATTATTATTTAACATAAAGTACATTTCCATCGCTGCATGAGCTTACCTTTTTTCACATAGTTTGGATATTCGTTCGCTCTTCATGCTCTTCATTTCCTAAAATAATTTCCGCATTAACGTTAACGTTAACCAACAAATACCCATATTAATATATCGTAATTTTCTATGCAGATCTTCCGGGGGAGGTTATATCATATACTTGATATTGATACTAATACTTGATACTTGATACTTAACTTTGCCCACCCACCCCACCCAAGTGTTGTTATTATTATTATTTTATTTCGTCATCATATTTTAGTAATGGGAGATCGTCGGTAAATAAAATTTTCCATGTCTTTGTTGCACAGTCCTATTATTATTATTTGTTTATGCGTGTGAAATAAAAAGGATATGACATATGACTCATATGATCCAAAAAAATGTCTCTTCCCACTTACATTCCCATATATAATTATAAAAGTATAAATAACAACACCTCTGCTTTAATCACTATTATTCAAAAAAAAAAAAAAAAAATACAACCAAAAAAACAAACTTTTAAGCGCTCAAATTCACCACTCTATTCTCTTAATAATAATAAAAAAAGTTTTTTTTTATTTCTTTTGCGCATACTAATTAGTTTGAAAAAATGTCTCAAGTTCTCGATATATTAATATGGGTATTTGTTGGTTAACGTTAACGTTAA